CCAACTTCAAGGCTCCGATCTCGGCCGTTTTCCACTCGTTTCGGCTGATTTTTGGACGAGCGATCATCTCTCGGAACGGTCTCGAAGCGTGGATGTGCTTCTCGTGACGCGCGCGCGCGGAACACTCACGTTGAAGCGACGTTGAATCACCCTTGTGCTGCCCAGGTCGCGCTCGCGCTCTACACCGACGACGCGGTCGCCTGGTACGAGAACGACGGCGCCATGTCCTTCGCCGAGCACGTCGTCGCCGACGGCAAGGACGGGCCCGCGTTCGTCTTCGGCGAGGACGTCGACGGCGACGGCGACGTCGACGTCCTCACCGCGGCGTCGAAGGACGACACGCTGCTCTGGTACGAGAACGTCTGCGCGCCCTGGTCCAAGTACCCGACGGCCGCGCCGAGCCTCTCGCCGACGGCGACGCGGCGGCCGTCGACGGCCGCGCCGACGACGCCCGCGCCGTCGACGGCGCCGACGCCCCGGCCCACGCCGCTCCCGACGCCCGCGCCGACGCCCGCGCGCGCCCCGCGCCTTCGGACGCGGACGTCTTTCGGTGACCGGCGCGCCCAGGTCCCGACGCCGGTCCCGACGCCGGCTCCGACGCCGCAGCCGACGCCGCAGCCGACGCCGGCGGGCGGCCCGCGTCCTCGACGATCGAGCTTCGCCCCACGGTCCGAGCGCAGGTTCCGACGCCGCAGCCGACGCCGCAGCCCACGCCGCTCCCGACGCCGCTGCCGACGCCGCTGCCGACGCCCCACCCGTCGCCGAGTCCCTCGTACACGCCAGCGTCCTGCGGCTGTGACGATTTTCGAGAGACTGTGACCGGGAAAACGATGACAATCGTCACCGACTTTCTGGGTAGGTACACGCCGACGACGCCGCCGAGCCCGGGGCCCAGCGCGGCACCGTCGGCCGCGCCGTCGACGCTTCCGAGCGCCGCGCCGAGCGCGTCTCCGACGGCCGCTCCGAGCTCGGCGCCGTCGGCGGCACCGAGCTTTCCGCCGTCCCCAAGTCCCACGGCGACTCCCACGGCGTCGCCGTCGGCCGCGCCGTCGACGAGCCCTACGGGGTCGCCCTCGGCTCTGCCGTCTGGTCTGGTCCGAGAGTCTGAACAAACCGTGTGTCTTCGCGTCGAAGTTCCACAGGAAATCCCGCCGAGGGGCG